TGGGCCAATCACTGTTGCAGCCTCTCCCGTTACAGAGCACAGGCTCCGGACGCGCAGGCTCAGCAGCCATGGTTCACGGGCCCAGCCGCTCCGCGGCACGCGGGATCCTCCCGGACCGGGGCACGAACCCGCGTCCCCTGCATCGGCAGGCGGACCCCCAACCACTGCCGAAATATAGCTTTTTCCAAGCAAAACTTATTGTCTTTTCCATTTGCTTTCTGCTAGAGAATTGCTAAGCTTCTTTCTTTCTTTCTTTTTTTGGTCTGCGGCATGTGGGATCTTAGTTCCCGACCAGCGGTTGAACTCGCACCCCCTGCATTGCCAAGTGTGGAGTCTTAACCACTGGACCGCCAGGGAAGTCCAGGCACAGTTTCTTTGAGCTGTAGATTTTTGCTGATTATCCTTTAGCTGAATTCTGGGAAGAGTGCTAAACAAAGACCAAAACCATAAAATGGGAGGCTTGAATTGTCTGGCTTCTCAGTTAATCTCCAGGTAAAAGTTAACTGTGATTACGTATTAAAAATCAGCCCGCAGTCACCAAATGGTTTGAATTCTTTAGTAGTTTTCAGTAGAATAGTTTAGGAAACTGTTCCATCCCCAGTGGGTGCTTGCCGAGTCCAGGTTTCAAAGGCATCTGCGTTGAGCGGTAGAGTAGGAGTCCCCAGTCAACTGGATACATCTGGGAGGGTGGCATGTCACTACTGAGAAATGAGAATCATCTGCTGTGACTCGGGGGCGGGGTGGCGTCCAGGGCAGGGTGCGGCTCCTTCCTCTGAGGCAGTCACTCGCAGTAAGTCCAAGGTGACTTGGCAAGATCCCCACTTTGCATGCTGAAGAACACCTAGATAAGTGACACATTGAATCAGGCTGTAGTGTGTGAGGCCTGAAATCCAAGTGGGTGTTGTCCTTTCGGGGCCAGGACTTGAACTTATCACATCCCATCTGGGGAAGGCAGTGGACCTGCACCGCAGTGTGTAACCCACCCCTCGCCAGTTTAGGAGCAAAGAGGGGTGGGCACCCAACTAGCAGTTAAAGCTGTGCCTGCCTGGACTCCTTTGGAGACAAGAGGGTTATCTTGGCTACTGAGGGCCGCCCCGAGCGCTGAGATGCTGTGGCCTGGAGGGTCTCCTTCCTTGGGCCATGCTGTCCTGCCAGGAGGAGCAGACCCTGGAAGTGACAGGCTGGCACCTGGATTTCTTCTTGGCAAAGAGAAACCTCTGAACTTTGTATTAAATGAAACCTGGTCTCTGGTTTGCAGGCCTGTTTCTGTGGCTCATCCATGACACTGCCCTGACCCACTCCTGAAGGGCCAGCTGGATGGTTTCATACCCAGATCTCCCCACTCTCTAGGTCTTCATCGCCTACACAGAGACGTGTATTTCCTGTGGTCATTTAATCCTGGCATCCTCTGTGCAGCCGAGTTAAAACTGTTTAACCCATTAGCTTCCAACTGGTTCTCCAAAAGGGGGTGGGGGCGGGGTCACCATTCGGAGCGGTGAGGTCCAGCCCCCTCGTTCTCCTGGGAGAGGCCGATCCCTCTGCGGATGGCTCTGCCGGCAGGCGGGCGGGCAGGCAGGAGCTCCGAGGGCTGCTGTCATTTTGGGGCCTGTGAGGGAGATCGGGCTGCGGCACAGGAGTCGAGGTCAGTGGAGGCCCAGGGGCGTCTGGTGTGGGGAGGACAGGCCGCCACGGAGGGAGAGTAGCCTTCAGACCCAAGGGGAGATGGGCCTGAGACCCAAGACAGCAGCTCAGGAGGAATGACGCAACTCCAGGACACGGGAGTGACCCTGTGAGGAGGGCTGAGGATAGAAGTACAGCGCGAACGCCGTGTGGGGTGTGGGGCGTCAGGTCGGAGAGCAGAGGTGAGAGGGACTAGACGCCTGATGGTTGGTCGTCAGAAGCGCTAGAGGCGTTTTCTTCAAGCCGAGTTTGGGCTGGGGGCAGAAGGAAGAGGAAGGAACGGGCAGACGGTGTCACGTTAACGTGGGACGGAAAGCATGTTTCTTCTCCATCAGAAAGATGTTCTGAAAGATGCAAAAGGGTAGAACAGATGTGGTTAAAGGATATTTTGAAGCTAAGTTTTTGTGGCCGATCCCCATGAGTCCTGTATCACAATGAAGCTTTGGCATCACTTCAAGGTCTCGGGAGGACCAGGCTTCAAAAATAGCCCATAGATTAAATCAGGATAGTTAGAGAGACTTTAACATTCGCTTTAAATTGTAAATTGGAGAAGCTTGAGTGAGACGCAGTTAAAATAGTTGTCTTGCCTGTCTTTCTCTCGATTCTAGAATTCCAGGTTCTCTGTTGCTGAAGAGCAAGTCTTCAGTTCTTATTGGAACAGAGGAGTGAATTGAAAGCACAGTGATAAACGCTGGAAGTGCGGTCCCTTCTGGGCACCCCTCCATGCACACGGAGGGCGGGAGCAGCGCTGTCCTTTCAGTAGAGCGGGTCCCTGAATTTGGGCCACACTCCCGTGAGGTCACAGCCCTCACACCCGGCCACCTTCCTGGATGGCGTCTCGGCCGAGAGGCCTGCCGTGCAGACGGCCGCGCCTCCTGTTGGCTCCAGCTGGGCTCCTGTCTGAGAACTTAGCCGGAGAGCTTTGAGAGGTGTGTTGTTGCTGACGGACGCCCTCGCTGAGGGTGGGACACCCTTCTGGCATGTCCTTGCTGAGCGGAAGCCATGGGCTTCATGCTGGGGAAGGAACCTCCCTGTGCCACCACGGGTTGAAGGCGCGCCTCGGTCTCCACCGTCTCTGACCTTCACAGGGTGATGGAGCGATCCAGCAGCGCCTGGCGTTATAGACCTGCTAGATCGTCATCTGCTTTTAGATCCCTTGGGAGGGTTGAGACAAAATTCAGATGAAGAATAGGTAACTGGTTATATTGATTTTTCTTCTCGCTTTTTACTAAACTCAAACAAAGTTCTCATGCATTACTAGGTTGGAGAAACGTATGGTAAGGATATACCCTCCAGGGGCAAAGACAAGCCGATTGCCGTATGTAAAACTTTCAGTCGACTTCAGTTTCAAGCTTTATCTGTTCTCTCGTTTCACTTAGTTTTCCTAGGATTTCCTATTGAGCCTTTATATTTAACGCACTCAAGGTTGGGGTTTTGCCTGACAGTTTACCTACTGGCTTGAATCAGAGCAGTGTGTGAACTGCTTTCCTCCCCCTCCCAGGGGACAGGAGGGGCTGTCGTGCAAGGGCCCCTGTCCAGGCTGGTTGGGGAAGGAGTGCGGAGGCTCTACCTTGCAGCTCACGTGGCCCAAGTGCTTGGTGGGAGCGGGACTAACCACGCTGCGGGCCCTCCTTCCTCCCGCTTTGGTGTCCGGTGCAGGGTCTGTCGGGTAAGGCTGCGCGGCGCTGGTGAGCTAACCCACCCCTGCTTTGAGATGTTGTGAACAGCCCAGGTGCCGAGATGCTGTGGTGATTCTTGGACAAGCTTGTGCATGTGCTAGCATTTTCAGTGTCGTTTACGAAAAGCTATTGTGTGGGATGTTTTTTCCCTTTCAGGTACAAGATATCAGCTGGATGATCGCAAGTGTTAACTTGGGAATCGTGTGCATTTCACAGAGTAGCCTAATTGCCTTTTTCCAGGAAAGTGTTTCATAAATCTAGCATTTTAGAAACTCGTAGGCATTTTTTAACATGGGTAAATATTTAAATTTCACTTTTTCTCTTTTGGCCATACCTCGTGGTACGCGGGATCTTCGTTCCCTGGACCAGGGATCAGACCTTTCCCCCGCTGCAGTGGAAGCGTGGAGTCGCAACCACTGGACTGCCAGGGAAGTCCCAAATTTCACTTTTTACACAGCATGGTGCAAGTTTTCCAGAGGCCCTCCTTGGGTCTGAGAAGCTCTGACAGCTAGCAAGACGCCACTTACATATCAGATCATCCTCCCTCCCAGAGGGACGTGCCTGTTACTGAATTCTTGAGACCTGGCTTTGTGCCTGGGACTCTGACGGCAGTTCTTTAAGAAGCAGTTTAATTGGAACCCAGTGACCGTCTAAAAATGTTTGTACTTAAGATTCTGATGGGAGCATAATGGAAAGCATACCATTTGAGGATCACCGTTTTTGATTTGAATCTGCTTTTGACGGACTGAAACCAAGTTTTATAGAAATATTGCCATAGTACCTGACACTCGTTCGTGTCCCCGTGTAGTAACAGAGCATTAAGTTAGTTCCCAGTGGGAGTTGGGAAGGATGGAAAGGAGGCCTCCCAGGGGGTCTAAATTTGATGTCTCCCTGTAGCCTCGAGTAACTTATAGCATATTTTGTCCTCCACTCCCCTTCTCACTGGTAACTGGTGCTTCACATGCTGGTTCTGGTCTGGGAGCGTCTGACTACACTGCAGGAGTGTCAGGGAGAAGGCGCATGCCCTGGCCCCATGCTTCCCTCCCAGCAGCACTCAGGAAGCAAAGTGCATTCCTCACTGTAAGACCATTTTCTAAACACCTCCCTGTTTTCTTTTTATAGGATGTATTCTTGATTTGCTTTTCTCTTGTGAGTCCTGCATCATTTGAAAATGTTCGTGCAAAGGTAAGTGGGATATTTTAGGAAAATATTTTGTTACATAATGTCACTCTCAGGAAGAAACATTAAAAAATAAAACACCATTTACTGATAGAAACTTTCAGTTATTTAAGTTGATTTTAGTACTTCTACTACTTAGGTAAGTTTTTACATAAGTTGTCAGTTTTTTAGGTACATGACTTGAGTATGCAGGGTTCTAAAGTGTCAAGGTCTGATTCAGAAGTGCCGTGTTCCTGGTTAAAATGACTACGCACTTCGGAGTCGGTCTAATAACAATAATGACCATACTTTCTACTCTGGCATCTTTCATGAACGTAGTGAAAATGACGGGTGAGAGGCCCTTCAGTTGGGAGTGGGGACGTGTCTGGTGGGGTAATGGCGGCAGAGCTGAGACCTGGGTCCAGATACTTTTATTCTCATCCTTGAATATGTAAGGGATCTTGAGATGACCTAAGAACCTGGCCTGTTTTACCAAAAACAAAGTAGTTGGCGGGGTGGGGGTCGTCCTTGCTCTCTCCTCTCGCACGAACAAGCAGAGCTGTCAGTGGGGGCGTGAGTCCTGGGCTCCAGGCTGGCTAGGCACACAGCGCAGCCAGTCGGTGGTTCTGGAGGGTGTGAGCTAGGCAAGGGGGCGTGGTGACCAAGTGGGTGGTTGATGCAGTTGGGCACCTGTGTGGATACAGTTCAGGCGAGGGCGGTTCCGAAGGAGAGGCTGACTGACTGCCTCCTCTGCTGGTGCCTAGTGGTACCCTGAAGTGCGACACCACTGTCCCAACACGCCTATCATCCTGGTGGGGACGAAGCTTGACCTGAGGGATGATAAAGACACGATTGAGAAACTGAAGGAGAAGAAGCTGACGCCCATCACCTACCCGCAGGGCTTGGCCATGGCCAAGGAGATCGGTATGGAACCCCCGTCGTCGTGTCTGCTTTGCCCATGTTGTTATTTTCGTGATGGAGGCTGCGGTCCCGCCTGGGGAAGTGGACTTGGGGTCTGGCTTGCCTTTCGGGACCCTGCAGAGCAGGGCCCTCGTGCCACATCAGGGCGGGGGTGCCCCCGTTCTGATCTGAGGGTGAGGCTGTGTTTCCCACAGGTGCCGTCAAATACCTGGAGTGCTCGGCGCTCACGCAGCGAGGTCTTAAGACGGTGTTTGATGAAGCTATCCGGGCGGTTCTCTGCCCACCCCCCGTCAAGAAGAGGAAGAGAAAATGCCTGCTGTTGTGAATGTCCGGGCCCCTCCTGCCTGTCCCGTCCCCCAGGACCCTTTGTACGCTTTGCTCAAACGGTGGAGCCTTCGCACTCAATGCCAAGTTTTTGTTACAGATTAGTTTTTCCATAAAACCGTTTTGAACCAATCAGTAATTTCTAGGTTTTGTTTGTTTAAAGTGTAAGAGTTCAAACTTTCACATCCTATTAAAGTTTAGCCCTAAGATGACGAGCTTCCTCAAAGCCTTATTTCTCAAAGCCCCTATTCTTGCTCAGATTAAGAGTTGCCAAAATACGTTGTGAACTAAGTTGCATTGTTGGGCTAAGAACACTAAGCACTAAACTGTTCAAAGACCTTTGTCTGGAAGAGACTAGCTTCTGAGGCAGGAGATGCATACGCTCGCTAATGAGTTTCAGACGCGAAGAGCAGTACAGCCTCCTTCCTGAAACGTTGCCATTTAATGCATCCTGATTTACCAGCCCACGTTCACTACCTAACACTGTACTGTACATCATAATGAACGAGTGTAACAGCTCAGCTCTTTGGATCAGTCTTTTTGATTTCGTAGTGAGATTTTTAAAACAAATTAGTGTATTAGCTTTTGTGAGATTTTGAACAGAGCTTTTACTCCCGTGTTCCCTCCGATGAAGCATTCTGCTCTGGCCGTTGGTGCATTGGGTGGAGTGTGTGGAACACTTGTGATCAGAGGATGAAGACAGTATTTTAACAAAATATGGAGATTAATTTACACTACATTGTATACGTAATAATTAAACTATTAAAAGTGTCACGGGTAAACGTTTTAAAAGGTTAATTTCTGTCAAATGCAGTAGATGATGAAGAAAGGCCGGTATTATCAGTGTTTTCTTAAGCTTTTCCTTTTCCTTAAACGTGCCCATCCCTCCTGAAATTGGGCATTTAATCCATCTTTGACCTCATCATTCTCATAGTTGATAACTTAGTAAGTGCTTTTCTTATAGAACCCCTTCTTAATGAGCAATATGCCTCCTTGTATTATAAAATCGTTCTGCATATGCATTAGAAAAATTTTTTTGTAGATTAGTAAAAGTGCATTCCTGTTTTCATGTTACCTTATCCAAAGCTAGTAAGTGCTTTCCTTGGTTTTCTAGTAACTAGGTGTAAAAATCCTATGTTGCAGCTTTACAGTTTTTAAAATACTTAGATATTCTTAAACTGTAAACCCTGCCAGATCACCGACACTGCACCCGGACTAATAAACACTGACCGCCTCTTGCCTCACAGCGTGCACACGCTTCCTGTCCTTGCCCTAACGATGTTCCTTGGGGTCTGTGAGGTTCTGTCAACCCCGTGCTCGTGCTAACGAAGTTCTGTACAACTTACCCACTGGCAAGAATACGAGCTTGGACCTTTCAACCACTAGAACAAAATTTTTTAAATTGACAGTTGCAGAATTGTGGAGTGTTTTTACATTGATCTTTTGCTAATGCGATTAGCAGTATGTTTTGCATGTATGACTTAATAAATCCTTGAATCATGATTGGTAATACTGGAGTTCTTGAGAGCTTGGGGAACCACCTGCTGGGGTATGTGTTTGTTTGCCTCCCTGTAAAACCCTGGGTCATTGGATGTTCGTTTCCAACGCGTGTTTTCGTGGTGGGGGGACAGGGAGCGGTCCCTCTACGGGGAGAAGACGGAGGAGCCAGCAAACAAAGAGGGGGCGTTGAGTGACGTTCGGTTTGAGACCTGGCGAATGTTGGCGAGACTCATGTGATGTCCACGCGGGGACGTGTGTCAGCATCTCGAGCCAGAGCTCTGGGCTGAAGATGCAGATGTTGGAACCCAAGCTGGCAGCCTGGTAAGGTGGAGACTGATGATATGACTTTAAGATCCTTTCTGGAGCCTGAACCTATACTATCAACAGTTCATGTTAGAAGCAGTTTTTTAAATTCTCTTTTTTATTGCTTGGAAGAGTTGTTATTTTTTTTAACCAAAGATAAATAATGCAGTTTTAAGACCAAATCTAAAGGTTTGCTACAAAAACAGCAGTCTTCCCCCTTCGCACCCTCCCCAGAGGCACCCATTTTGAGTTCTCTTAGGTAATTCTTCATACTTGTCTTCACACGTCTAAAGCATATGCTTGCTTTTTTCTTTTACTTACCAGATCACTGGTTTATCATAAAAGGATGTAACTCGGGAACAGCCAGACGGAAGAGATGTAGAGGGCAAGGTATGGAGGAAGGGCTGGGCACTTCCCTGGGTGCACGGCTCTCTCCACATCTCCATGTATTCCCCAACCCGGAAGCTCTCCAAACCAGGTCCCTTCGAATTTTCTAGAGGCTTCAGTTCAGTCACTGGCCATTGGTGACCGATTGAGTTGTCAGCCCCTCCCCTCCCTGGGGCTCAGGCTGAGCTGTGTGCTTTGCTGGATTTTCAGTTCCAGCCACCACCGACGATGTCCCCTCCCCGGTGGGGATGCAGTAGCTCTTAACCAGCCGTAACCCCAGCCTCAACACACCTTTCCCACCCCTTCAGTACAGTCATTTGGGTTGGCGCTGATATTCAGTGTCTGCATTACCACTGCCACGTAAACGCTCAGGGCTGAGCCATGTAGTAACAGAATCTGCCTTTCCTGCACAACTTTGGTTTCTTTTGGAGTACTAGTTTATTTGCTTTGTTTTCTGTGTACTTGATTAACTTAACTGACTTTTCCACCTGTTGTCTGAATCTCTCAGGACATCCGGATGTATCATGTGTTTCATCAGTTTTCATTTCCCTAAAGGCAGAGCCCTCTGACCACCACTTCTCTAATGTGTTGATCTTTTATTTTCTACATCTTAACTCCTTGTTTTCTAATTTACTTTCTCACCTTGATGGACAGATTCTTCAAGAGCTTCCTAAGAAGTATGTGGGTCATCTATGTTTTTGAGCACTTGTTATCTTTGAAAATAACTTCATTCTAACCTGATACTTTTTGGCTGGGTCTGAAATTCCAGGCTGGAAATAACTTCTCTTCGGCTTCTTGAAGGCAGATCTCCCCATCGTCTTGGCCGTTTGCACTGCAGGGGGCGGTACGTTTATCTCCACGTCTTACGGGGTCTGCCCTGCGTCTTCATGTCCTGGGTGGATCTTTGTCTCCCGTACCCTGTGCTTGGTGGGCTTGTTCTGTCTGGAAGCTTGTCTCCCATTATTCAGGTATCCCTTTCCCAGCTGCTTTTGATTTCATTTTTTATACTTTTCATGTCCAGGAGTTCTTTTTTCCCTAAATACTGTTTTTCAGCCTTGTGGATCAGTTTTGTGGTTGCAGCACTTTCTGTTCCCAAGCTGTATGTAGCTTCTCCTGTGTCTGTTTCTTTTGGTCCTTTGTTCCCCAAGTGTCTGGTAATACCTGGCTCGTGCTTGAACACTGAAAACTAAAAAGGACACCGGGCACTGAGCACGTAGGTGGGTCATGCCAGGGCAGTGTGGTTCAAGGTGCTGGGATCGCTTTCCTTTCTGCCGCTAGGAACGTACAGGAATTATGTTTAGAAACGAAACTTGTAGCAGTTCGATGTTACCGCAGCATTTCAGTCAGACACCTTTGCAGGTCTTCAAAAGCTAAGGCGGTACGGCTGTAACAGCTACTAGGCCCTGAGGGGGCAGGTATCCCTAGAGGTCTGATTTCCTTGGAGCATCTTCTTGAAGGTTCTGGGAGCCAAGTGGGAGGAGTTGTTCTACTGCGCTGGTGTCCAGCACCCCCTCTACCCGGAAGCAAGCGAGAAGCCAGATTTCTTCCAGCCGTCACTCTGGCCAGTCCCCCGCTGTCTGCTTCACGCCTGGGTCTGCGGTGCCTGGGGCATCTGGTTTGTAGACGTTTACTCTTGTCTTTCCTTCCCCACTTCACCCAGGAGTCCGCTTACGTCTGGCCATCTCACTGTTCCTGTCTTTTCTTCCCCCCCCCCCCCCATTACTGTCATTTTACAGGGTTTAGGTCGGGGGTGGAGTGCAGTCAGATGCCTGGGCAGTCTTCAGTCTTTAGCCAGAGCTCCAGGAAAACTTAAGACTCCCATTTTGTTGTTTACAGTGGACAGAAAAAAGGTGTTTAAAACAGGACTGTTGTAAAACTACTCAGTAAAATAGACATTCCCAGAAACACCCGCTGGAAGAGTTCATGGCTGTGCAGGCGCTCATGATACGGAAGTGCTTTTTTTTTTTTTTTTTAACTCACTCTGAATCCACTGGCCAACCTCTGCGAATACCCCACGAGAACTGGTCCAGCACCCTGAGGCTGGTGAAGCAAGCAGCGTGAACAGGGCACGGGGCACCCGGAGGCCAGGATCTGCGGTCTCTGCTCGCCTCCCCGACCTGCTTTCGTCTGATTCCCAGTCGGAGCTCAGGGCTGACCCTCGCTTAGTGCCACCCATAACAGACCCCAGTCTGCACCCTCGCAACTGATACTGAGTTTGTGCAGGCAGGAAAGTCCAGTTTGCAGAATACACTGCACACCTGTGTGCCAACTCGTAAGGCAGGACCCTGTCACTGAAAAGGTGGCCCGAGGGGCGGGCGCCTACAGATCCGTTAGGGCCTTAAACCTGGCTGTGGGATTCCCGGGAATCAGCAGGCCTACAGGAAAGGGTGTGACGCCCGCTCAGTCTCGGGGGGACCGTCACCTCAGTGCTCTCCTGGCTCCTGATTGTGTGAATATTGTGGTCAGAAGTATTTCTCAAATTACTCAGTCATTTAGGAGACCACTGAAATCTGATCATTGGCATCGTGGGAATCAATCAGATGTTAAGTCACTGTCGGAACAAGAGCAGTGTCCACGGCCCGAGCAGCTCCCAGTTGCCCTGGTTACGCCACGTCCACACTGGAGCCTCCCTGGGTCGGACAGGAAACACAGGCGGCCCTGTCGGACACCACGCTGTCCAGGGCTCTCATCAGGATGTCGGGCATGTGGTCTGTTAGCATCTTTGGGCCGATGAGTATTTTGCTGAATTCCGATTCGTGTGACCATTTCACGCTATACCGAGCAGCAGGATAGCAGGAAAACCTGAAAGAGGAAAAGCCGAGCATCTCTTCAAGTCTCACCCCCGTGAGTCTCCCTTCACCGCTGGTGGGTGACTGCCCACGTCAGGCCCGCCGCACTCACCTCCCTGAAGTGCCCGCTTCCTCCAGGTGGATGATCCTGCCGGGAGGGTAGAGAGGGGGGTACTTGGTGGGGGACTCAAACGGGGAGTCACTGGAGAAGCTGTAGGCTGGGGACCCATGCACCAGCAGGCTCCGCTCCCCGAGGAGAGGCTGCGTCAGGTCGCCCCCATCCAGCTCCGTCGGCAGGTCCTCGGGGTGCCCTCCAAACAGCTCGTACCAGCACCCGTGCAGCAGGATCTTGTACTGAGGGCGAGACCGAGAAGACGGCACGCGTGTGACCCTGTGAGGCTTTCACGGTCCCTGGAGACCTCCTGCCACCCGTGAGCTGGTGGCGGCAACCCCACAGCACTTAGAAGCCTGGCTGCTTTGTTTTTCAACATGGACCTTAGGGGCCCAAACTCAGGTTTCTCTGGGGCAGTGATGCCATCACACTTGAAGCAATATTTTAAAACCAAATTCAGGCAGATTTTGAGGAAAAATTACCCTTAATTCTTTTTAGGCAATTCTGTAAACCAGTTTTACCCTTTACCCTTAAAGACATTAGATACAAAATTTTTTTTTTTTAAATTTGGGGGGAGTGTAGCTGATAAGGAGGAAGTTTATTTTTAAATTAAAAATTTTTTTCTAATTAGCAACAAAAACACAAAAAATGTCACAAAACAAAGATGTTAAGTGAAAAGTCATCTCTAGTCCTGTTATCTAAATAAAACCACATTTTGGTGTATTTTTATGGTGAAAGCTATATATACCTCGTCACCTACCCCTGCCTTGGATTATATTCTAAGAAGCATTTTTAATCCTGCCGTTTTAAAAAAAACTCTTCAAAACATCATGGATATTTTTCTCTACTGGTAAATATAAATGCATTTATATTTGTAACAACTATAATATTCCATAGCCCAGCAATACCAGCGCCTTCTAAACTGTATCTGGCAGCCTTGTTTTCTAAGCTTTGGGACCAAAACCATCAGAACGCTGTTAGTCGTGACAGGACTAAGTATGACAAAAAAAAAAAAAAAAAAAAAAAAAAATCACTTAACCAAACAGGGATGGTTCTAGTATAGCATGTTCTAGTTGCAGCTTCCCTGCGCATGGTTTAGCCATGTGCTTCTCAGGCATCCTCTGCAGAACAGCAGCCAACAGTCTGTGCCGGGGCTAGAAGAGCTTCTAGCAGCATCAGTGCCCTGTGCTGTGAGGCTCTGAATTTAGAAACGTCCTCTCGAGGCCACAAACAGCCTGGTGGGGAGGCCCTAACCCCTGCAGGTCCTCTTCCGCACCACCCCCCCGCCCCGAGTTACCTTGGGCTTGTTGCAGTGAGCAATCACTCGCAAGATTCTCCTCTTCAAGTCTTCCAAGTTGGTCACACTTAACCTGTTGAGCAAAAGACCAGACTGAGGCTTAGAACTCTGCCTTTCCCGCCAGCCCAAGCCCAGACGGGGCAGCCAGCAGACTCACCTGGGAATCACATCCTTGCCCAGAACAAGTGACACGATGAAGGTCTTAGAGTATTCATAAAGGGATTTGCTGAAGTAAAAAAAAAAAAAAGGTGATTATATTGCCCACAGAAGGCTTCCAAGAGAAAGCAAGTAACTATACCAAGTTAGGAAGAGGTCAGTGTTCACAGAACTCCACTCTATTCTCCACCCTCTAAAGGGGAAGAGAAATAAGAGATTCCACGTAGAGCAACTCACTGGCCAGATTCTCTTGAAAAAGTAAAAGGCATGGGGATCTGCGTTACTAGATGTCAGCACTGGGTAGGCAACTAAGGTACTTAACCCAGTGTGGCGTCGGCAGAGTCAGACGAAGCCAGGGGAAGAGTGAGCATGGACGCCTCCCACAGGGCAGGAGTGGTACTGCAGGTCAGCAGTAGGGGAAGGATGGGCTTTTAATAAACAGTGCTGAGATAAAGCACTCAAGGTGTGAGTGGGAAGATGAAACTGAATCTCTACCTCATGCTGTACACACAAAAAAACCCCAAATTAAACAGATTAAAGACCTAGGTAAAGGTGAAAGGTCAGACTAAAAGGCTTTTAAAAGATACGATAGGAGACTAGCTCCATGTCCTTGGGACAGAGAAAGATTTCTTAAAGTCCTGGGACTTCCCTGGTAGTGCAGTGGTTAAGAATCCACCTGCCAATGCAGGGGACACGGGTTCGTTCCTGGTCTGGGAAGATCCCACATGCCGCAGAACAACTACGTCTGTGTGCCACAACTACTGAGCCTGCGCTCTAGAGCCCGTGAGCCACAACTACTGAGCCCACGTGCCACAACTACTGAGCCTGTGCTCTAGGGCTCGTGAGCCACAACTACTGAGCCCGCATGCCACAACTACTGAAGCCTGTGCTCCACAAGAGGAGCCACTGCAGTGAGAAGCCCACGCACCACAATGAAGAGTAGCCCCCGCTTGCTGCAACTAGAGATAGCCTGCGCGCGGCAACGAAGACCCAACACAGCCAAAAATAATGACAAATTAGTCAGTGTTAAAATTAAGAACTGATAAAGACTTGACTCAAAAAGACACATCAAGGAGTGAATATATTTACAACACATACTTCGAACCAACAAAGAACTGATGTACTGAATATATATACAAACCAGTGAGAAGAAAAAAATACAACAGAAAAATGGGCAACAGGAACTTCATGAGAGTGGAAATTCAATAAAAATATGAAGAGACTCAACTTCATCATGGAAATGCAAATTAAACAATGAAACATCACTGCGTGCCCATCAGATTGGCAGAAATGTTCAAATTGGACACTTTTAAGTGTTAGAATGTGGAGAGGTGTGCACGCTGCCGGTAAGGTGTGAATGGGTGCAGCCACAACATGCAAGGCGCGAGTATGTGCACACTCCATGACCCAGCACGTCTGACAGCCCGATGTCCGTCACCAGCAGAATGGATAATTTGTGATATGTGATGAAACATAACGAGAATTTACACAGTAACATTTCAGACATCAAACAATGTGCGGAAAAAAAATAACAGAAAAAAAGTATAATTCCCTTTCTCTAAATTTCAAAATCATGCAAATCCAAACTATGTAGAGACATGTATACAGGTGATAAGACTAATTTTTAAAGCAAGGGAAGGGACTCCCTGGCGGTCCAGTGGTTAGGACTCTGCGCTTCCATTGCAGGGGGCATGGGCTCGATCCCTGGTTGGGGAACTAAGATCCTGCAAGGCCGCATGGTGCAGCCAAAAATTAAAAAACAAATTTTTTTTTTTTAAATTAAAAAGAAAGCGGGCTTCCCTGGTGGCGCAGTGGTTGAGAGTCCGCCTGCCGATGCAGGGGACACGGGTTCGTGCCCCGGTCCGGGAAGATCCCACATGCCACGGAGCTGCTGGGCCCGTGAGCCATGGCCGCTGAGCCTGCGCGTCCGGAGCTTGTGCTCCGCAACGGGAGAGGCCACAACAGTGAGAGGCCCGCGTACCGCAAAAAAAAAAAAAAAAAGGCAAGGGAAGAATTTTCACAAAGATCAGGACAGTGATTCCCTGTGAAAAGGAAAGGAGAGGACGCACAGGGACTCTTCTAAGGCGCTGGCAACGTTCATTTTTCCACTTGGGTGGGTGCAGAGGTATGTGACTATTTTTAAATCAGCTTTATTGAGGTGTAATTTACAACAGTAAAATCACACCCATTGTAAGTGTACAATTTGATGACTTGACAAATGTATGTAATTGTTTAGCAACCACCTCATCAAGACGTAGAGCATTTCCATCACCGCCCCCGCCCCCCCCACCGGGCTCCCTGTGTCCTGCAATATCCCATCCCCAACCCCAGGCAACCACTGATCTGCTTTCTGTTGTTATAGTTTTGTCTTTTCTAAAATGTCATATAGGGACTTCCCTGGTGGTGCAGTGGTTAAGAATCCGCCTGCCAGTGCAGAGGACACGGATTCGAGCCCTGGTCCGGGAAGATCCCACGTGCCACAGAGCAACTAAGCCCATGAGCCACAACTACTGAGCCCGCGTGCCACAACAACTGAAGCCCGTGCACCTAGAGGCCACGCTCCGCAACAAGAGAAGCCACCACAACTAGAGAAAGCCTGCACACAGCAACGAAGACCCAACACAGCCAAAAATAAATAAATAAAATAAACTTATTAAAAAAAATTTTTTTTTAATGTCATGTAAGTGAAATCACACAGTAAGGTCTCTTGTGTCAGGTTTCTTTCACACAGCAAAATGCATCCAAGCTGTATGGATGTTTATTGCTCTAAAAAACATGTTTTATCTTTGTTTCACTGAATAAAAACAATCAGTTATTTTAAAAAGTCACTTTCGTGTCTTATTATATGTATAAATATGTGGGGTTTTTTTTGTCTGTTTGTTTGTTTTTTTGGTACATGGGGGTCTCACTGTTGTGGCCTCTCCCGTTGCGGGGCACAGGCTCCGGACGCGCAGGCTCAGCGGCCATGGCTCACAGGCCTAGCCGCTCTGCGGCATGTGGGATCCTCCCGGACCGGGGCACGAACCCGTGTCCCCTGCATCGGCAGGCGGACTCTCAACCACTGCACCGCCAGGGAAGCCCTAAACATGTGTTTTAATATTGAAAGAGCTTTTAAAAATTTTCAAGGTACACAAACATGGATAAAGATATTGATAGATTTATAAAAATGAAAAAATGAAAAGCATGTAAATATCAGTATGGGAATAAATAAAAGTGGTGTAACCAGATGACAGAAAACTAAGTTAATTTAAAAACATGTTCTCAAAGAACAGTTAAGGATATAATGTATATAGAGTATTAGAAAAACACATATCCACACACAAAGAGCTGGAAGAAAGCAAACCTAAATAGTTACAGTGATGATTTCTGGGTAGATCCTGATCTCTCCACTTATTTATATTTTTCAAAAATTCTACGATGGATACAAATTTAATTTTTACCCCTTTCATTTTTTATTTCTTTTTTTTAATGGTCGTACAGATTTCTTCTATCATCAGGCCAAAGATTATACAGGATTAAGTACGTTGAATCAGAAAAGAAAAATAATTTTCAAACTCAAAAAGTGAATTAGTAACCAAATTCAGTAAAGTTGCAGGATACAAAATTAATATACAGAAACTGTTGCGTTTCTATATACTAATAATAAACTATCAGAAAGAGAAATTAAGAAAACAATCCCATTTATAATTACATCAAAAAGAATAGGACTTCCCTGGTGGTCCAGTGGTTAAGAATCCGCTTTCCAATGCAGGGGACACGAGTTGATCCCTGGTCAGGGAACTAAGATCCCACATGCCGCGGGGCAACTAAGCCTGTGCCTCAAATACTGAGCCCGTGCGCTCTAGAGCCCACGCACCACAACTAGAGAGAAGCCCATGCCACGACGAAGATGCAGTGTGCCACAACTCAGACCCAATGCAAACAAATAAATATTGGAAAAAAAAAAAAAAAAGAATAAAGTACCTAGGAATAAATTTAACCAAGGAGGTGAAACACCTGCACAGCGAAAACTAGAAGCCACTGATGGAAGAAACTGAAGAAGACACAAATAAATGGAAAGGTATTCTGTGCTTATGAATTAAAAGAATTATTACTAAAATGTCCATATTACCCAAAGAAACCTACAGATTCAGTGTAATCCTAATCAAAATTCCAATGGCATTTCTCGCAGAAATAGAACGAACAACACTAAAATTCATAGGGAAGCACGAGACCCCAAATAGCCCTAAGCAATCCTGAGAAAGAAAAACAAAGCTGGAGATATCGTGATCCTTGATTTCATAATATAATACAAAGCTAGAGTAATCAGAACAGTATGATGATTAGTATAAATACAGACACATAGATCAATGGAACAGAACAGGGGGCCCAGGAATAAGCCCATGCACTTACGGTGAATTAATTAAGAAGGGAGCTGAGAATACACAGTGGGGAGAAGACAGTCTCTTCGATAAATGATGTTGGGAAAACTGGACCACTCTCTCACCATACACAAAAGTTAATTCAAAATGGGTTAAAGACTTAAATATAAGACCTGAAATCAGAATACCCCTAGAAGACATAGGCAGTAAGCTCCTTGACATTGGTCTTGGTGATGATTTTTTGGATTTGACACCAAAAACAAAGGCAACAAAAGCCTAATCAAATGGGACTACATCCAACTAAAAAGCTTTTGCGCAGCAAAGGAAACCACTGACAAAACAAAAAGGCGACTTACCGAATGGAAGAAAGTATTTGCAAATCATATACCTGATAAGAGGTTAAAACCAAAATACATAAAGAATTCATACAACTCAATAGCAATAAGACAATCTGACGGGGACTTCCCTGGCGGTCCAGTGGTTGAAACGCCGAGCTTCCACTGCAGGGGGCGTGACCCCTGCAGGGTTCAACCCCTGGTCCGGGAACTAGGATCCCACATGCCGCGTGTCCAAAAGAAAAGGGCAGACGATCTAAACAGACGTTTTTCCAAAGAAGACATACAGATGGCCAACAGGTACGTGAAAAGATGCTCAACATCACTAATCATCAGGGAAATGCAAATCAAACGAAAATGCAAAGCTCGAGATGGCGCCTCGCACCTGTCAGAGTGGCTGTTATCCTAAAAAGATAAACATGAAATAACAGGCACTGGCTAGATGTGGAGGAAAGGGAATGCTTGTGCATTGCTGGTGGGGATGTGAACTGGTGCAGCCACTACAGAAAAACAGTATGGAGGTTCCTCAAACAATTAAAAACAGAACTACCATATGATGATCCAGCAATTCCACTTCTAGGTATTTATCCAAAGAAAATGAAGGCACTGACTTGAAAGATACCTGCACCCCCATGTTCACTGCAGCATTATTTACAATAGCCAAGATGTGGAAAAACCTAAGTGTCCACTAACGGATGAATGGACAAAGACATATGTTTGTGTGTGACGGAATATTATTCAGCCATAAAAGGTAACAAAATCTTGCCATTTGTGGATGGACAACAACCTGGATGGACCTTAAGAGCATTACGCTAAGTGAAATAAGAGACAGAAAGGCAGATACCATGTGATCTCACTTATATGTGAAAACTGATAAACCAAGCTCACAGATACAGAGAACAGACTGGGGGCTGCCAGAGGCGGGGGGTGGGACGGGATGCAGTGAAATGGGTGAAAGGAGTCCAAAGGTACAAGCTTCCAGTTATAAAATAAATAAGTTATTGGGATGTAACGTACAGCATGGTGACTGCGGTTAATAATGCTGTGCTGCAAAAAAAAAATAATAATAATAATGCTGTGCTGCGTATGTGAAAGCTGCTAAGAAAGTAAATCTTAAAAGTTCTCACAAGGAAAAATGATTCTGTAACTGTTAACTAGACTTATTGTGATCATTTCACAGCATATACAAATATCGAATCGTTATGTTGTACATCTGAAACTAATATAATTATACCTCAGTTTAAAAAAATCAAATCAAATCAAAGCTATGGTTAGAGAGACCTATGAAAAGCTATCCAGTCTTTTTTCAACCAAACAGGGCTTTGAAACAAACTTCTGAGGATGAGCAATTGTTAACTAACTTGCAGATAAGAGACCAGTTTTGACCATATGACTTGTGAGTAGCACCTCCTTACAGGAAGGAAAACAAAGATGTACCTCAGCAGCCCCCTGGGTGGGGAAAAGGCATAACACCTGACTCGTGGATATGGGTTTCTGAGCATGATGGTCAACAGGGCCGCGGCGCCTGCCCCCAGGCTGTGCCCCACGATGACCAGCTGGTATTCCTAGGGGGCAAATGCAGAATGAGTAAAGGTTAAGAAAACAAATAGCTAATGGCAGAGAAAAGGAAAGAAAAGAAGAATTAAAATCTCACAGGTGCAATGCTGAACGCCTGGCTCAAAATCCCGTCGTCGATGAGTCGTCGGTAAATGTATCTGGCAGCTTGAGAAATCCCCTGAAAGTGCAGACACAGAGGTGGCTGGTGACTGTCAGACAGGGCAGGCCTACACGGGGTCTCCTATCGGTGACTCTGTCCCCCCAGACAGGAAAGGCATCCTGGGATCAGCGGGCACATCTACCGCTCACTGCTGTATTCCTGGCACCTGGCACAGAGCTTGGCAAGAAGCAGGGGCTCAAAAAATATTTCCATGAGCAAATAGGTGACGTCAGGAACATCTTTCCACGTCAATGGACATTTCTAAGGCTTCTTCTGTAGCTGCAGAGCATCTTGCTGCGTGGACGTCCCACAATTTACTTTAGCCAAGTCCCCATTGTCCATCACATTTAGATTATAAATGGCTGATCTTTTACAAGTATGTTAAAATGTAAAGTTCTGAATCAGTGACAGTGACTAAGCAGCCACTGTTCCTGCAAAAGCAGAACTAAAACCATCGGAAGTGAGTTCTAGGGAGGTCAGGCTTTGGTTTAATTTCAAAAAATAGCATGTAAAACTTCCTAACAAATACAGCTATCTCACGAAACAGACTTCTTGAAAATTAAGTAGTTCCCATCGAGGAGAGACAACCCTGTCAACCAAAAGCATTTTCGGAGTGCTTCCTGCATGACAACACAGGACAGGCCTGGCCACCGGCCCCGGCAGCCTAACCTCCAACGGGATGAAGTGGGAGAAATTCCACATAAGATGGGAGACTGTTTTGCTCCTCTCTAAAGCTGCTGCAAATTCCTGATTCAACAGCTCTATAACCCTGTGAGCAGAATGTGGAACCTGGCCTCGTATATGAGAAACCAGGAGGTCTGAAGGGTTAACATGCTGTGCACAGTCTGACGACACTTCTGGACAAACCGCCAGATCTCCCTTTCCTCCCCCTCCTACCACACAATGCTATCGACTTCCGCCAACATTTATTAGGCACCTACCGCGTGTCTGGTTCTGGGCAGCCACAGCCACTCAGCATTTGGACCACAACTCGGCCAGTTGTGAGTCTCCCTGGCACAAGTGTTACAAGTGAAACGCCAAGACCGTTTTCAGCTGCACAGCTTTGAACTCCAACCATCGTGGACAGCATCAGAGCCAAAACTCGGTACCGAGTCCAAGAGCAGAGAACAGTCCGTGCCCTTAGGCCCTGAGCAGCTGTCTTCCCGGCGGGAGGGCAAGAGCTGTCACTGAACGAAACGGTGCTGGAGGAGGCCTCCACTGAGAGCCGGCCAGGCCTGCAGGGTCGCAGCTTGTGGAGGCACAAAGCCTTGGTCTGCAGCCCAAATTCTTCTAAGACCAGAGCCACAGCTGAGCCCACAGGGCTCTGAGGGTATTCTGTGCTTGGCTAGTTGATGCGTCTCTATAATAAGTTTTAAGTTTCTTATTTGTTTTTCTTTATGCACACCCAGTAATAGTTAAACTGGACTTGTCGGTGAATTGAGGTATGAAAAGACAGCTAAGGGATAAAGGAAAAAAGTTCACATTCCCAGGACTGTCAAGCTCCTAACTGGCGGCAGAACAAAAGCCAAAAGCCTCCACTCTGGCTCTTCCCTGAGGTGTCCAGGCACAGAAAAAAACAAACCCCCAACAAACAACAATAACAAAAAAACCTGGAAGGAAAAAAAGTTTCCCAGACAGGACACTGGGGTTCAATTACCAGCACCGCACTCTGGCAATAACACGTGCTTGTATAAAAAGTAAGCATTCTAGCCTGGGTAGCTCAGCTGGGAGAGCATCAGACTTTTAATCTGAGGGCCCAGGGTTCATATCCCTGTCCAGGCGCCAAGAATAAATAAACAAACAGAATTTTTTAAAGAAATTAAGCATTCTATTTAAAAAACTATTACTACAGAAGTAATGCATGTTTTGGTTAAAAACCCCACGAAGTATATAAAAATAGTGGAAGGGCCGCTGCCCTCCGCCCCTGACAGCCTTCTCCCCAGAAGCAGCCGCTGTAACCTTTAGGGAAGGAATCATCCCAGACTTTCCCACAAATGTTAAAACGCTCAGCTCTACAACCATGTTAGTCATCAGGAAAATGCGAATCAAAACCACAGTGAGATGCCCACTTCACAGCCACTAGAATGGCTACGTTCAAAACAAAAAAAAAAAGACGGCTTCCCTGGTGGCGCAGTGGTTGAGAGTCCGCCTGCCGATGCAGGGGATGTGGGTTCGTGCCCCGGTCCGGGAAGATCCCACGTGCCGCGGAGCGGCTGGACTCGTGAGCCACGGCCGCTGAGGCTGCGCGTCCGGAGCCTGTGCTCCGCAACGGGAGAGGCCGCAACAGTGAGAGGCCCGCGTACCGCAAAAAAAAAAAACAAAAGTAACCTCTCAGGGCTGTGGTGAGAAGTCGTGCTGAACAGCACCTGGCGCAGAGCAGCGTTAACGCGGGAGACCCCGAACTGAAAATACCCCAGCGCCTTCGAGGTTCCCCTTGACAGAACATTCCAGACCACACAGCCTCGGCTCCTACCTTGTGTGCCCAGCAGTCCTGCACCTCACACTCGAGGTCGAGCGGCTCGCTCTCCGCTGACAGGTCCGTAAGGATGTCCTGGAAACAGTGCGTGGGAAGGGGCCATCAGCTGGGCTGGGCTAGCTGAGGGTGGCTGCGTGGGAGAGTCCCCCGGGTCAGGCTGTTGAGAATTGGACCCCAGGTGCCTGAACTCGGGAGAGATGCCAGGTGGCCAGGAAGCTCCTGAGGAACCCACGGCGCAATCAGACATGAAGACTGGGGAGGGGACACGTCTAAGACGCACCCTCTGCCCCCACTCCCTGCACACAGCATCTAAGCACCCACGAAGCACAGAGCCCTGGGCCAGGGTGTTGAGCAAAGCATGGTTCCCGTCCTCCATGGGCCCAGTCAACGGCTGGTTGAAACCTAAGGGAGGGTAAGAGACACGTCACACAGAGCAGAGGAGGGGTGAGCGCTGCAGGGCATGGGGGGCTTCCTGGAGGAGGTGGCCTGAGCCAGAGCCTGACGGAAAAGCTGGTTTTCAGGAAGCAAAGGAGAGAACAGAGGCCGGCATCCTCACCCAGGGGAGCAGCAGGACCCAGGGCAGAGGCATCTGAGCACGGGAAGCGGGCGGTGGGCTGGGCTCACGGGCACTCGACTCTGGAGGCATCAAGGGGCCGCGGGCAGAGCCTGGGAGGCTGGTGTGTCCTCGGGACCCGGGGAGGCCCACCTGCGGGGGGAGGGGCCCCAAAGGTGGCTCTGGCGCTGCCAGGGCTGGGAACTGTGCCCCACAGAGAACCAGGAACCGTGTATAAAACGCAGCGGGAACTGCCTGAGGTTTGCGAGCAGTGGCAGGTCTGACCACGTTCTAGAAAGAGTCCTCTGGACGGTACAAAGGACAGACTGGGAAGACGCGAGACGAGAGACAGGGACTGAGGTAGAGGACCTGTCGCTGGCCCAGGAAAGAGAGGCCTGGGACCAGAACGAGGGCTGCGGTGCTGGGACTGGAGGAGACGGGCCAGAGAGGGGCCGGGCAGGACCACACGCGACAGACTGGGCGGGAAGCGAGGAGAGAGCCAGAGACGACTTCAGCTCTGCGGCTTCTTGGTGGGCAAGGGGGCACTGCATGGTTACTGGGGCGGGCGGTGCCGACGGGAGAGCAGACCCGGGAGCGGGGGCCTGGGCAGACCCAGATGGCTCCTGGCGAGGCAGGGGCAAGGCTGCCCGCGCAAGGTTGGCGGGGGGCGGGGGCGGGGGGAAGGGAAGCAGAAGATGGTGGAGTCTCGTTTCATTTCCTGGGTCAGGAGAAAAAAGAGAACTAGGAAATGAGACTGAGGAACGGCCAAGAAGAGACCAAAAAGCACAACACAGGAGAGGAGTGTCGCCAGGTGTCTTCGTGGGGCTGAGACCAAGCAGGAGGGGAGGGGACTGCTGGGTGGGGCTGCACAGTGCTGGCTCCCACGGCACCGGGGGAGCAGCGGCCAGGGGAGCCGGGGGCAGGCGCGTGGGGCCAGCTGAGACCCCCAACAGGAACTGGAGAGGTGGGGTGGGGGGTACCTAAGAGTGGGCTGACTTCGGACTGCATGACTTAACCTACTGTTCTTTCTGGCTTTGGGTGCAGAAAATTCAAGGGGAGGGTCACCCGGGTTGGGGGCCCAGGGAATCCAGCGGGCACCCGCCCGGGAGTAGGGGAGCCCAGCCCTGCCAGCGTCTAAGTTTGCAACATTTCTTGGTTAAAAGGAAATGGCTTTATCTGCTTTTTCAAAGGAAATATTTGACAGCCCTGGACTCGCCTCCCTGTTTTCCATGCCCGGTGTTTCCCTGTGTCTGATGCTGTCACTTACGAAGGTTTCCCCTCAGTTCCAGGAAAGCTGGGTCTCCTGGCATCTGAGCTGCTGACTGCCCGCCCCCAGCCCCCTGGGCCAGCGCGCCAGGCTCCGTACCTGGAGAGACATGGTTCCCCTCACAGCCACCACCACTGACTCCTTCCTGTGGTCCAGGGCCACTAAGAAGGGGAGCTCGTACACCTGGGAGAGAGGAATGAGCATTAGCACAGGTGTCTGCGGACACGGCCGGGCCGGCCCGCAGCGTCTAACACACGCGCTTCCGAGCACAGCGCGGAGGGGTGCACTGATCCCCACCTCTGCTCGTTCTCAGTAGACAGTGTGACTTCTGATTCTCAGTGATGAAAGGCTCTCTAAAGCCAAGCCCCTTTTACCCTCGGGGGCAGGGGATAGAGCCATCTCAGCGGGCAAGACCAGAGCCTCCGCTCTGGGTCAGTGCGAGCAGCGGGTGACAGGCTCTGGGCCCCGTAAGCACCCACTTGCATCAGCACCGACCGCGGGTCCAGCGGTAACCCTAGGCTCCTGCCTTTGCATCTGCAGAGGCTCCTGAAGGAGCAGCGAGAGGGTCTGGGTTAGGCAGACCTGCCTCAGGAACTCTGCTCCGCCCCATTCCTGCCGTGGGACCCCAAGCAAATGTCTGAAGTTCTCTTCGACCCCATTTCGTCATCTTTAAGGAGGACAGCATGGTGTGCTGTCCTCCAGCTGGTGTGACACCACGGGGACAGCCACCTGTGCGTGGTGAACGGTCGTGCATGTGGAGCCAGCAAGAGAGGACAGACTGCCGACTTCACTGCCCTGGTTTCCGCAGGAGAGGGACTTCTACTGATGACCTTGTGGGGGGCTCCTTGAAAGAGCCCACAGAGCAGTCACGAGCCTTCTGTGGAAAATCACCTCCTTTAAGCCCCATCCGCTCTTTCTGTCATCACCACTCAGTGACAGGGCAGCACAGGGCTCACGGGCTCCTGCGCTTTGCTGGGCACCAGATTCACTGCAGACATGAAAACAAGATCCTGGACATCCTGATCTCAGTGGGATGGGGTGTGACTTTTACACCTCCCAGGTGAGTCTAAAAATGCAGCAATTTGGGAGCCAGGGGGTTCAAGAACAGGACACCAGTGGTTCCCTGAATCGTCTGTGTGCTGGAATCGTGGGGGGGCTCCTGAGCTGGGGTCCCATCACCACAGATTCTGACTTCATTCATGTGGGGTCTGGCCTGGGCTTCTGAGTTTTAAAAGCTCCCCAGGAGATCCCAGTAGACAGCAGATGTGAGAGCCGCTGTGCTTGGCTTCCGGTGCCTGTGAGGACCGTGTGGGGAGCCACAAAGCAATGCAGGACAGGCCCCTGACGCCAGACAGACTGGCTTCCGCAGGTTCACTAGCCAGCCCTGCGATTCTGGGACCCTCCCAAGTGTGAGACCCACTGCACTGCACTGCACTGCACTCATAGGATGGAGCTCAGACCCAGAGACTAGGATTGATCAACCCCAGACACCCGTGTGGGATTAATGCCAAGTGCAACTCATTGTTCTTCACTAAAAACGGGCTCAGGTGAAACACAGCATAGTGTCTCTGATGAAGACTTTCTGCCCCATCTTATGTTAAACCTGTGGGGGCTTCAAGAGCCTTTGTGAACCTCGAAGACAGTACGCTAAACTTGGGGTGAGTATGTGTCTGTGTATGTGTCTCTGCACATTTTTCCGGGGGAATAGCTTATAACCTCCACCAGAATCTCGAAGGACTCCAAGACCCAGAAGAAGTTAGGAGGCACTGCTCACTCTACCTTGTCGTGAAAGCTGACGTGAATGAAATCCCGGTACTGCAGCCCCGTCGTCTGCAGGATGGAGCCAAAGTGACAGTTGAGCTGATCACCTCCAACCAAGTCATAATCGGTTGTCTGGCTTCTGCAACTAAAACAGGGGCAGAGGCGTTACTGCGCCAACCAGAGCCACGAACCGAGGAAGACCCCACCCTGCCGTCCCGTTTCCCAGCAAACCTGAGGGCGCCCGCTGAAAGTCTGCACAGCTCAGTCTGGCGAACATATAGTGGCCTTCAAATGACACTTCTGTATACACGTCTTACTACAGTCTGACTTCTTTACTAATGCTTTACATACTCAAAAAATAAACCAACAAGGATGGGAGAGACCCTAAAATCACCAGGAATGGGACAAGCTGGCATCAGGTATCTCCTGATATGATGTACTAAGAAGGATGCACGCTCCGCATGCCAAAGATGTATAACTTGAACCTAATCGTGAAGAAATCACCAGACAAATGCAAAGTGAGGGCCAGCCTACAAAACACCCAGACTGTCCTTTCCAAAATGTCGATATCGTGAAAGACTTAAAAAAAAAAAAAAGACTGAGGAACTGTTGCAAACCGGAGGAGACTAAGGAGACAGGACGGCTGAATGCGACCCACGCTCCTGGACTGGAAGAAAATGTGCTACACGGGGTATTACTGGAACAACTGGGAGAACTGGAATAGCTAATGATTAATGATAAACTTCCTGAATTTTATGTCTGTACTGTAATTTATGGCAAAGAGAGACCTTGTTCTTAAGAAAGAAAAGCTGAAGTAATTAGAGGTAAAGGGGCATGATGCCCGCAACTGAATCTCTAATGGTTCTGGGGGGAGAAACACGTATTTATGGAGAGAGTGATACAGCACATGTGACAAAACTGAGTCACAACTGGTCATTCTAGATAAAGGATACGGGCGTTCCTAGCACCGCTCTTGCGGTTTTTGAAATATTTCAAAGTAGGAAGTTTTTTTAAACAGGGAAATGTGATTATTTTTAGAAAATAAAGTACGGACACCATAGCAAGCAACATCTGGGGCGGAATGAGGACGGAGGCCTCAGACGGTGCCGACCTACCAGTCACCACCAATCCTGCACAGCCCTGTAAAAGGGTTTCTGTAAATATAGAGAGGCCACCCATAGGCAGCTGCTGCAAACTGCATATAGTGATGGCAGTTTTCTAATTCTGCATCCAAATCAGCTTCCTGTAAGAGAAGAAAAAAAGCTTTTTGTTTAGGGGATCCCGTTAAGGAGAGGATCAACACACTATGATCTTTTTTTTTTTAATTTGATTTTCATTTTATATTGGAGTATAGTTGGTTTACAATGTTGTGTTAGTTTCAGGTGTACAGCAAAGTGATTCAGTCATACATATACCTATATCTATTCCTTTTCAGATTCTTTTCCCATATAGGTTATTACAAGACATTGAGTTCCCTTTGCTACAAAGTAGGTCCTTGTGGATTATCTACTTGATAAACAGTAGAACACACTATGATCTTAAACCTGAACTCAAATTCCTGATTCTTCCCTTTCTTTCTTCAGGGAACAGACCTCTCGGAGGACTTCTGCTGGGAAAACTGGTCCTTAAATACAGACAGATGAACCCCTCATTTTAGGAGATGCAGAAGTTAGCAGCAAAAATCCCTAATGACTTTTCTGACTCCTGGTGAAATAAGCCCGTGACTTCCTGCTGGATGCAGGTGCAGATGCCACTGCAACAAATGGGCTGCTGGGAACTAGGTGCAGAGATAGACACACGATCCATATGCAATTTTCTCTTTCAAAAGCACAGAAGTCTGAGGCGGGAAAGCAATCATCAAGCAAAGCTGAACTGTATCTGTTCCCCAGACCCAGAGAAGAGAGCAAACACACTCTGGGAGAACCAGGTCCCACCCCAGAGGGAATTTTCGATATGCAGACAACAGCCAATTTCCTAAAAGAGAATCTCAGGGGAAAAAAAAAAACAAAACATACAATGGGTGGTGAACGGGCCAGGAGTGGGCTCCCTCTACCTGAACTCCAGGTGATGAGGAGACGCCTCACCGGACAGGTGACAAACCACAACTAGCAAAAGCCACAAATCAGATTCCAATCAACTGCTCCTGAAACTCTCGCCTTTTTTTTTTTTTTTTAATTTACAAGTAGGTGTAAATGTCGAAACTGTACATTTTTGTACGTGGGCTTACCTGGCAGGGCCCTGGGCAAGGGCTGACCACCTCATCAGGCTCCTGGCTGCTCCTGACGGTGTCCTGCTGCTGATGAAGAAGAGCGAGCCCTGCTGCAATGTCGCTGGGCACCAGGTCCGTGTCCTGGGCGGGAGACCACAGTGGCTTATCGTAAACTCAGCGGGAATGGCCCACGAGCTCCTGAGGGTCCAGTTTTACGCAGTTCACGTGCACACACATGCACATACACGTACAGTTACGTGTGAGAAGTTGTTTTTAAAAACAGTCCTTTTGAGGACTTTTAAGTCCTTTCAGGACTCCTGCCATGTGAGCTTCGTGTCTCTTACTATCCTGCCCTCACACAAACCTGCTCGAGAACATAAATATTTTACTAATTTCTGTTCTCAGATTTCACGTCAAGTTGAGTCAGCTATTTTTAATCTATTTCACATCGCCTGTAAAGTGGGTGAGTAAATGGGTAAATTCGCCCTCTTTGGAGTAACGTCTGATGTTGGCCCAGGTTTACACTCTTACTGCTCAAGATGCTGAGAAGGTTTTGCTGAAAGAGTCCACAGCAGAGATGTATGAGACTGGACTTATACTCACTGGGCAGAACGAGCCTCAAAAAGACCCTCAAACTAGGAAAGCAACAGAGTGAGTGTCCAGAGCCTGACCCGACCCTCTCCTTCATGAGGGACACGGAGCAAATGGGAGTCCACAAGAAACCAGGTACTGGCCACTCGGCCACTTGAGCCATCGGTTCTGCCCACGATGCAGGTTAAGATGTCCTCTAAGAACAGCCAGATTCTCTTCCTCCTTCTTTCAACAATCTTAAGACCAGGTTGAAGTGCTCCTTTGAAATTATTTAAGGGGACACACTTCTCTCATCCCTATGTGGAGGCTGCTGGTTATGGAGCCAGCCTTGAACAGGGCAGGCCTGGACACCACAGAGAGGTGAGAAAAAGACTGGCAGGCGGGCACAACGTCAAGAGAACTCCTCTCTCTCACCTGGCTGCAGTACTGAACATAATAGGAGTTTATCAGAGATCATTATAAGAGAAATTGGATGTGAAAGAAAAACAAATGTTTCCAAATCACTGAAGAAACTGCTCTAGAACCATGACACCCTTCTGCATTGCAACTGTCTTTAAAAAGAGAATCATCTGTCATTTCCATCATGCCATAACGTTGTAAGAAACCAGGGTCCGATACTACCTCGGAGGCACGACACTGCCGGGACCTGGCATCTGCTGAGAACCAGCTGGACAAAGAATGTAGGAAACGACTGGCAAATGATTCTCAAAATGTACAGGTTCCACTACTTAGTTCCTTAAGAACTAATTCAAAATCTTAACTGTGTAACAGATGGGTGTCAACACAAGGATGCGCCGACCAGGGCGTGGGGTCTGTGAGCACAGGGCCCTGGGTCCCTGCTCCCTGGAGCTCTCGGGCGCTCACCCCAGGGCACACCTCCACCCGCCGCACCCACAGGGGACTCACTCTCAGGAGGTGTTTTATGTCAACAGGGAGATGGGTTCAAAATGCAGATAACTCATCTTCTCAAAAGAAGTGTTTACTTAAACAGAAGAAAGAGACCAGAGCAGACCCCGTCGGCTTACTGAAAAGTAGGTTGAGAAAAGCTCTGCCGTACTCGAAAAAGCAACTCGAGTACGGTCGTCTTTGCCGATGCAGCAGCACAGGAACTTGATTCTCGTTTCCCACACGCTTGTAGCTGCCGTCTTAAGGCCATTAAGTAACTGGCTGGACTCATGACTATCCAGGTGATGGGGGCCTGCAGGGGGATACGGAGCCATCTTCCCCCCCAGCGGGTCAAAGACGATGACAATGGTGATCACGGTGGAGGCGATGATGATCCAGCTGCGACACAGAGAGAGGAAAAGGCTTGGAGGCTGCAGTCCTGAAGTCCTGTACAACTTGTGGCTCTTGTTACTAAGGAAGATGGGGATCTCACAGAACCTGGCGGAGGCGGGCAACTTGTTTCTTTTAGAAAATTCCTTATGAGCCCATGGCCAACCCAGGCCCGACAAAGATCAGAGCCCCAAAAGCCACAAAAGGAAAAGGGGAAGTGTCCGGTGGGCAGAGCCTCGGCCTGGGCATGGAAGTCCCTGACCTTGACCCAGGCCTACTCCCCAGGGTCTCGGGGTTCCCCTCAGTAAAACCAAAGGAGGCTTCCTGTGCCACAGGACACCCTCACAGGTCTTTCATTCATACGTTTCAATATTTCTAGGTTGTCCACCATGCGCAAGGCGCCCTGGGTCCGTGAGCACGTGTGCTCCTGGAAGGTGGCCCAGGAAGGGCCGCCACGGCCTCTCCCGAGAGGCTCAGCAGGGCAGCGGGAGTCTCCATCCCCTTATTTACAGCGTGAGGGGATGTGACTAGATCATCTGTAAGATTTTTAGTCTGGAAAGGGCATAAACCTTATTCCAGCGGATTATTTCCTGCAGCAATTCCAGAGACTATATTTCTTCGTGTCCTACTTTTAGTTTTTGCCCTATTTTGGTCTTCAGGCCTCTTCCTTCTTGTAAAGGAAGGGAGGGAACGCAGGAAAATGAGAACTGGTAACAAAGGAAACTACATCAATAAATGGGAGATGAACTATTCCTCATGTATGAACAAGTGCCTCTGCATTTTTATGATTTACTCAGAAAGATCCCTTTCTGGGCTTCCCTGGTGGCGCAGTGGCTGTGAGTCCGCCTGCCGATTCAGGGGACGCGGGTTCGTGCCCCGGTCTGGGAGGATCCCACATGCCGCGGAGCGGCTGGGCCCGTGGGCCATGGCTGCTGAGCCTGCGCATCCGGAGCCTGTGCTCCGCAACGGGAGAGGCCACAACAGTGAGAGGCCCACGTACCGCAAAAAAAA